ATCATTCCTGGGTGGGAAAAACTTTGTTCCCACCAACGGAATAGACAATGAATTAAACTTCCAATCCTTCTGCTTGTGCATTTCATCCCAAATCCTCAATACATTCCATGTCAAAGTGCTTGTTTCTTCATCCAGTGCATGAAACCTATGTGGTATCCAAATGATCCTATCTAGTGGTGCCTTACTAGCACCGTCAAGTTACGCCATCAAGTGCCTTATATAGCGCCGTCAAGTTACGCAGTGCTTTACATATATATTGTACTTTCACATCAGTCCTTAACCCTCAAGGAGCGTACAATCTAAGGTCCCTAACTTACATTCATACATACTAGGGCCAATTTTGACAGAAGCCAATTAAACTACCAACATGTCTTTGGAATGTGGGAGAAAACCGGAGTACCCAGAGGAAACACACGCAGGCACAGGGAGAACATGCAAACTCCAGCCTGGTTGGGATTCAAACCGATGACCCTTGTATTTTACACTCAACATCCCCTATCCACATTCCTTTAACATTATTATTATTATACAGGATTTATATAGCGCCAACAGTTTGCTCAGCGCTTTACAATATAATGGGAGACAATACAGCAACAGTACAATTCAATACAAGAGGGATAGGAGGGCCTGATCCTTGGAGCTTACAATCTAGGATCTACGCTCTTTCTTACGGTTGCTAATAGCGGTTCCAAGGAAATCACAAACAACAGCGGAGAGAGTGGGCATCCCTGTCTTTCCATTATACGTCCTAAAAAACTTTGATAATGATCCATTGACCTTCACTGCCACTGATGGGCTTCTATATACAGTGGGGCAAAAAAGTATTTAGTCAGCCACCAATTGTGCAAGTTTCCCACTTAAAAAGATGAGAGAGGCCTGTAATTGGCATCATAGGTAGACCTCAACTATGAGAGACAAAATGAGTAAAAAAATCCAGACAATCACATTGGCTGATTTGGAAAGAATTTATTTGCAAATTATGGTGGAAAGTAAGTATTTGGTCACCTACAAACAAGCAAGATTTCTGGCTCTCACAGACCTGTATCTTCTTCTTTAAGAGGCTCCTCTGTCCTGCACTCATTACCTGTATCAATGGCACCTGTTTGCACGAAACAGTCCCTCGAAATCAGGGACAGTCCCTTGAAATCAGGGACAGTTGGGAGCTATGCGTTAGCGCAGCGGTGTCAAACTGGCGGCCCCCCCAGCTGCTGCAAAACTACAAGTCCCATCATGCCTCTGCCTTTGGGAGTCATACTTGTAACAGCCAATCTTGCAATGCCTCATGGGACTTGTAGTTTGGCAAGAGCTGGAGGGACACCAGTTTGACACCTGTGCGTTAACGCAATGCAGAGGTGTGAATGGGGCCCTAATGGCAGCACATTGTATCATAGTAAGCTGTCAGGAGAAAACTAATGATCAAACAAGATCTCTAACCTAAATCCCACCCCAGTGCTGTGTGCAGGGGGCTCACACAGGTCTACCTGTATCCAACCACTGATTCAAGACAGCGGCAAAGTGCCTGACAATGTATCTGGACTGTCAGCCATGTCCCTTTAATTCTGTGAACAGATCTCACTGCCCCTGGAGCTCACTCATCATTTCCAACATCAGCCAGCACAACACAGAACAGAACTGCAGCTGGCCGCGAGGGGGCGCAGCTCGGCTACTGTATACCTTGCAGAGGAAAGCGCGCAGTTCGCGGTAGGGAGCACGGAGTTTTCTATTGAGCGTGCGCAGTAGCTGTGTGAAGCCGGAGAGCGTACTGACGTCGCTGTACTGGCCGGAGCACGCTGCGCCGTATGTGTAAGTATGGTGGCAGTGTGTGTGTTGTGAACGGAGGGCGGATAATGAGGCTGTTCTGTGTGTATACGAGGCCCATTCATTGTACTGAGCGGACTGTGTGCTACAAATCACATTCAGAGCTTCTGTAGTCACCTCCAGAGGAAATTGGGTGGCAGTGGTTATATCCACCCTGCTCTGGGTCAGCCTGTCAGTATGAATACCATAGATGTAGGCCGTGCACACGCGTGTCAGGCCTCTTCCACATGGAACCCTAAAAGCGTCTTGTTTTTAGGCTTTTAGACATTTTTTTTGCTGATCTAAATGCCAGTGTTACCGGGGCCTCTGCACACAGGCGTGTAAACCTGCACTGCAGTAAAAACCAACTCTGCTGCTTGTCAGTATTTTTACATGAGGACACCACACTCCCTTGGTTATCCACTGCCGACCAAACCAGCCGAAAGACAGCTACAGCACAGGCGTCCAGTCCTGGGAGGGTGTCCATGGACGGTCTGCCGGCACCCTGACCCCTGTGTTCCTCCGGGTGCACTCTGTGACCACGCTGTCTTTGGACACAGCTGATCACAGATCAGGGTAAAGAGCCAATCACAGCGATCCTTTACTGTGAGCAGCTGTGTCCAATCACAGCGATCCTTTACTGTGTGATCAGCTGTGTCCAATCACAGCAATCCTTTACTGTACAATCACCTGTGTCCAATCACAGCGATCCTTTACTCTGTGATCAGCTGTGTCCAATCACAGCGATCCTTTACTGTACAATCAGCTGTGTCCAATCACAGCAATCCTTTACTGTATGATCAGCTGTGTCCAATCACAGCAATCCTTTACTGTATGATCAGCTGTGTCCAATCACAGCAATCCTTTACGATCAACTGTGTCCAATCACAGCGATCTTTTACTATGTGATCAGCTGTGTCCAATCAGCGATCCTTTACTATGTGACTACAGTGCCCCCTGCTTAAATACAAATGGGAATACGCAGGTAGGTCACACATGTATATGTAAACAGTGATCACACCACACATGTGAGGTATTGGCATGAACGTCAGAGTGAGAGCAAGAATTCAAGCGCTAGACCTTTGTAACTCTTACGCTTGATCACTGTATTAGGGTTAATGGAGATGTCATTGGCAGTTAGTTCCCACCTAATGTCAGAATGCCCGCCGCAGTCCTGCCATCCTGATCGCTGCCATTACTAGTATAAAAATTCCAGTATATATATACCGCCATGTGTAAACGCTATAACATTCACGTAAACCTATTACTAAACTTATTGGAATTGTTTTTAGCAAAGACATTATAGCAGAATACATTTTGGCCTAACTTAATGAAGATATTTACATTTTTTTATTGGATATGTTTTATAGAAAGTAAAAAATATATATTTTTTTATTTTCAAAATTGTCACTCTTTTGTTCTTTATAGCGCAAAAAAATAAAAACTGCAGAGGTGATCAATTACCACAGAAAGAAAGCTCTATTTGTGGGAAAACAATTATATAAATTTAATTTATGTACAGTGTTGCATGACCGCGCACTTGCCAGTTACAGTAATGCAGCGCCGTATCACAAAAAATGGCCTGGTTATGAAGGGGGGGTAAATCTTTCGGGGGGCAAGTGGTTAAACTTGGTGAGTGGGATGGATTTTTACAATGGTCAGCCACAGGTGGGAAGCAGCATCTGGGGGCTAGGTGTGCGAAAAATGTAAACTGAGAACATAAGGACTACTGTATAAGTACTGTTATTATTATTATACAGTATTTATAAAGCGCCAATAGTTCGCTCAGCGCTGTACATTACAAAGGGGGACAGAACATGTGACAGAACAATAACAATACAATGCAAAACATGAGGGGATTGAGGGCCCTGCTCTTTCGAGCTTACAATCTAGGAGGGAGGGGATGGTGGCACAGGAGGAGATAGCTGTGGGGGATGGAGTGGTAGGAAGAGTGGAGCAGGTTGGCAAGTTAGCAGGGGGTGGGGTAGGCTTCCCTGAAGAGGTGGGTTTTCAGGGTGCACCTAAAGGAGAGGAGAGTAGGTGATAATCTGATGGGTTGGAGCAGGGAGTTCCAGAGGATGGGTGACACCCTGGAGAAGTCCTGGAGGCGGGCATGGGGGGAGGAGACCAGGGAACTAGAGAGAAGGAGGTCTTGTGAGGAGTGGAGTGTGCGTGCTGGGCGGTACTTGGATATTAGGTCAGTGATGTAGTTTGGGGCAGTATGGTGGACAGCTTTGTACGTCAGTGTTAGGATTTTGAATTTGATCCGTTGCGCAATCGGAAGCCAGTGGAGGGATTGGCAGAGGGGGGTGGCGGAGATGGAGCGGTTGGGAAGGTGAAAGAGTCTGGCAGCCGTATTATGACCACTAGATGTCACTGATGATCATAGAAAACAAGTATTTATTTTCTATGATCTTTAGCTCCATTTAATGGCTCCTTATATTGCTGGTCACTCAATCTAGTGGCCACAGTGTGGTATTTTCTTGAACCATTTTATTTTATATGAATGAACATTTGACCTGTAGAGGAAACAAGAATATGATGATCTCCACTTTCGTCTGGGTCCTGTGCTGGTGGCTGTCCTGCTGCATTCTGAACACAGGAGGTTGACTGCATTGTCCAACAAATTTCCATCTAGCTACTTCAACAAAAGTCGGTTGAAAATGAACTTTTGTCAAGTTGGGTGGTGCTGACAGGACCACCCTTGGCTTGAGTTTCAGATGATCCAGCAGAAACTCTGCCAAATTTTGATAAAGCAGTTTCCATGGGGGAAGATTTCCTAAAAGTGGTGCACTCAGAATCTGGCTCAGCTGTGCATGGCAGCCAATCATATTCTTCTTTCAGAACTTCAATTTGTTCAATTAAAGTGTTACTAAAGCCACAACAGTTACATCAGTGTGTATATGCAGGAAAGCATGCTTGTTATACTCACTGTTATACATTACTATTATTTCTGATAAAGACATTTCATTTCTGGAACTAGGTGATGGTATTTACCTTTTTGGAAAATGGAAGCAATGTCAAGCAGAGTACTGTAATCTCTTTAAGAGGTAATATAAAACAGTAACTTTTACATGTTTCTTAGCCTGTGAATACTAAAAAACACATATTTGTGACATTGTATTAACCTGTTGTTGAAATCACTTTTTTGTGTCAGATAACTATTTTTCTCTCTGAAAAAACAGAGACTGTACTTCTGAAAGATGAATTTCCTTGGCCTGAAAGAAGATTGTGAGACCCTTCTCAGCCGCTTCCAGGCCACCGACAGTGTGCGTTATGAGGAATTTCTGTCAGTATGGAAAGAGATGAAGTTCCACACCATATTCTTGTAAGTGTTCACCACAGCTCATCTTTTTGTTGGAAGGCTTGAGGTGAGAGCAGTAACACCTGGATGTATGATATCATTTTCCTAGGCATGGAAACAAGGAAGTAATTGAAGAAATGTTTAAAAAAAAAAAAGTTTTAAACAAGTACATATGATATACTTTCCTATCAATATACTAATGCTAAAAATGGTCACTGTTGACTGAGAGAGTGATGTTCCACTTTAACTTGTTGTGGACCGCAGATAGCCGAATGATGGCTGCACTGCGGCCAGCCAGTTCTGGGAGGGCGTCTTATGACGTCCTCCCAGAACGCGCTCTCCTGCGCGCCCCCGGCGATCTCCGTGATCGCTGTGTCCTACTGACACTGCTGATTACGTGATGTGGTAAAAGGCCAATCACAGCGGCCTTTTACCATGTGCTCAGCCGTTTCTAATGCCGCTGATCACAGGGAAATGCAATTGCCAGTTCTCGGCTGCACTTTCCTCATGTTGTCAAAGCGTGCGGAAAGTACTGCTGAGAACCGGCAGTTGTCAGAACAGGGATCGGCACCGATCATCAGGGCACTGATGATCAGTGCCCTGATGATTGGTGCCCAGCAGTGCCACCCACCAGTTCCGCCCACCTGTGCCCAGCAGTGCTGCCCACCTGTGCCACTCACCTGTGCCCAGCAGTGCTGCCAGTCAGTGCCCAGTAGTGCCGCCTATCAGTGCTGATTATCAGTACCCATAATCCGTGCCACCTCATTGGTGCTGCCTATCAGTGCCCTTCAGTGCCACCTATCCATGCCACCTCATTGGTGCTGCCTATTAGTGCTGCCTATCAGTGCTCTTCAGTGCCACCTATCAGTGCCGCCTCATCAATGCACATCAGTGAAGGAGAAAAATTACCTGTTTGCAAAATTTTATAATAGGAACAAAGAAACGTTTTTTTTTTTAAAATTTTTTGCTCATTTTTTGTTTATAGCATAAAAAGTAAAACACCCCAGCGGTGAGTAAATACCACCAAAAGAAAGCTCTATTTGTGAGAATAAAATGATAAAAATTTCATATGGGTACAATGTTGCATGACCGCGCAATTGTCATTCAAAGTGCGACAGCGCTGTAAGCTGTAAATTAGCCTGGTAAGGAAGGGGGTATAAGTGCCAGGTAGGCAAGTGGTTAACTGGGTTCTCATAGGGGGCGGGGGGGGGGGGGGGTAAACATAAACAACAGTCCTTGCATTTTAGGTCCATCTAAAACTACTCTGTTCTGCATAATAATCCTGATCTGTGAATTCACTGCAGTGACCGCTGTCACCCTGTTAAAGAAAGTGGAGCAGTTATAGATCTACTGGAAGTATCATCAGGTAAAAAAAATTATGTTACAAGAGAGACAGGAAAATACAAAAACTGCTAATGAAGGACTGCATCAAATGTAATTTTTTATTCATTTTGCCCACAGTTACACTTTAAAGCCTCATTCACACAGGGCATATGCATCCACCCCATGTGCGGGCCGATTTTTCATGCATGGGGATGCACTGGTGTTCCTTGCATCCTGTGCAGGCAGTCCCATTAAAATCAGTTGGGATGCAGCGGTCGCACAGACACAGCCACTGCTCCCAATGTGACATCCATGTGGTTGCGTAGCCCCGAACGTACGTATCCAGGGTGTGTCTGTGCAGCCGCAGTGTCCCAGTTGACTTTAATGGGACTGCCTGCATGGGGATGCAAGGAACACCAGTGTATCTCTGTGCGGGTAAACACGTCCCTCACACAGAATATGGATGCATATGCCTCGTGAATGAGGCCTGGGAGGAAAGGCCCAGAGACAACCACAGAGGTCTTATTAAAAGCCTGCCAGTACAGGCCAGATTTAAGCATTATTTGCAGATTAATCAAGCCTGTCTTTGTAAAGTAGTTGAGGTTTTCTATAAATATAAGTGCATTTGGAAAGGATGGTTGGTAGACTGGGTGTGCGAAAGAATGAGATAAAAAGTCTGGGGGTGCCCCCAGGCACCACAGTGCTCAGCCTCCGCTGCCCCCAATGTAGTGGTGAGGAAGGAAGGCCAAAAAAAAATGAACATAAACTGTACAGTGTAAACACACAATAATAACACAATAAAAATGTGGGTAGCCCAAAACTAAATGGCAACCAACTACTCTAGCTATGTAAATGATGCTGCTGGGTATGCAGGAGAGGGCACTCCATCTGGTATGCAAACAAGGAGAGAAAACCACAGTGCAAACACATGATAGAGTAGCAAGGCATAAAAGAATATAAATGTATTAAAGGATAAGTTCACCTTTTAACAAAAAATTAAAAAAATGTGCATTTATTATTTTTTGTTTGTGGAACCTCTAAAGCAGGGGTCTCCAAACTTATGGCCCTCCAGTTGTTGAGGAACTGCAAGTCCCATGAGGCCTTGCAAGACTCTGGCAGCCACAGGCAAGACTCCCAGAGGCAGAGACATGATGGGGCTTGTAGTACTTCAACAGCTGGAGGGCCATAGTTTGGAGACCCCTGCTTTAAAGCACTGCACCAGCAATCAACAGATCGCTGTTGCCATGCAGGTCTCCCCCTGACTGGTCAGTATATCTGTTTGCTCATACATCCCGTACGAGCAGTAGATACTGTGGAGAGCCGTGGTAGTTCATTGAAAAACTACGAGCTAACAATCACAAGGGCTCCTGGGACTTGTAGTTTTCCCATTCATAGAATGCTGTGAATGAAAGATGTGGCCAGTCGGAGCCCTGCACAACCACATTTAAAAAAAATTGTGACAGTGGGCAGGAGATGCGGGGGCCAGTCAGATCATAACATGTTACACCCTGATCATGTTACGGAGGTGAACTTTAAACAATGAAATTGAACTCATAAAGGTGACTAAGCACAGGCGGGTAATGCAGACTATGGTGGAACATAAGAACCTACAGCCTTACAGGGAAAGTCTCTCAGGCCTTGGAAATGGACATGCGACAATGTAGAGGGCAGGTGGCGATACCTTTGTGGAATCCCCTGGGTAGTTTACATAACCTGGAAGAGCGGCCATGGACACAAGGAACTCTCCTGTGTGACGTCACACTCCAGACATACACAGCTGGGAACGTGTTTCAAGGCATGCTCGCCTCTTTGTTAGTCTAACTGCGCTGGGCTACCCAATGGACTTTAATAGCTTCACCTGACAGTAAGCTGGAGACAAACCTCTCAACCAGTTAAGTACTGCAACACAGGCCAGCGCCATTAGGTTGACGAAGAGACATGCATGCCTCGAAACGTGTTCCCAACTGCCCTTGTCCAGAGTGTGCTGTCAGAGGATGGCCTAGGACGGAGGGACTTTCCTTGTGAGGTTGTTGGCTCTGATGTACCACCATAGTCCTCATTAACTGCCTGTGCTTACTTACTTTTGTGAGTATCATTTCATTGTCTAATTATATTATACGCTTTTATCATTTACTACACTATGGGGTGTTTACGCTGTGGTTTTCTCTTCTTGGTTGGTAAATTGGGATGCAGGACGAAAGTTGTGAGTAATTTCAGATTTTTATTTGAGTCAATTGCTAAGTCTACAATTCTTCTAGTATAACATGAAAGTGTGTTTGAGTAGTGTGCAACTGAATTAAAGAAGCCTAGAATGGCATTTTTATATCTTTTTCCATTGCAGTGGTGGGATGAGGAATCTAGAAAGCAACAGATTCAGCAAAGAAGCATTATCTGTGGCCTCCCCCTTTTTCCTGCCGCCATACACATTTCAGATACGTGTGGGTGCTCTCTATCTACTGTATGGTCTGTACAACACCCAGCTCTGTGAGCCCAAGCAAAAGGTATGATACAGTTATTGTCATGTTATTTGTAAGGCACTGCTCTTCATTACTGTTGGTCATTCTTGTAGCAACATTTTTTAGAAACTGGTTCCATCATCACAGTCATGAAAGTTTGCCTACCTTGCATGTGCTTCTGGAACTTCAAAAGGTTTAAATAGGACTGAAAAGAGTATCATATGCCAAAACACAGATATTCCAACAAATTGCCATAATAAAGTCGTGTGCCATGATCCTGTGACTTTATCTTCCTCCAACTTTTGTGCTGATTCATTGAAGATTTCCCTCAGATTTGGGGCCCTTTCACACGGGTGGACTCCGCCAAGCTGATCTGCCTACTCAGCAGGTGATCTGTCTGCTGATGCCTGCTGAGCAGGCGGATGACAGGTCTGTGTCTGCTCCGCTTGTGTTCCTGCTGCACACTATGGGGCGGCTGAATGCAAACATATACGTTTCCATCTGACACGCTAGACGGATGGGGAACAGATCCCCAGTCTGCTTTTAGCAATTGGACATGTTCACCTGTGTGAAATGGCCCTTACAGGAGCAGAACTAAAAAGTACCTCCAGTCAGACATTTAGCCCTGCTTCACACCAGTGTGACTCTTAAGTCGTGCTACTTCAGCACAATTTCAAAGCTGACTTTCAGTGTGATTTTAATGTGCAATTTTATTGCAGCTTGCAACTTCATTAAACAGATGTTCATGCAAGTCACAATGAAATCGCACAAAGAAAAGTGCAGAAACCTTTTTAAAAGTCATCGCAACAATATGAACAGTTCTATTGCAGCAAATTGGGTGGGACTTGTCATGCAATTTTGAATGATCAAATCACATGACAAATTACTTAGGTGTGAACCAGGGCGAAGACATCATTCACATGGCTGTAAAAATACACATATACAAGTAATTTTTTAATTACGGATCTGAACACAGATGCATTGTTTTCCGTAGAGCCATTCACACAGGTGTAAACATGCACTGCATTCAGGTCCGTAACAAAAAATCCAGAAATCTGCATTTAAGAACATGCACTTTACATGCTTACGCATGTGTATGTAAGTGTGTAAATTAAGTCTAAACAAAGAGCAAAACCAAAATTTTTATTATATACGCATACACAAGTAGTTTACTGATTATGCAGGAACTTTTTCCCTAGAAAACACGTATAATAACATTAGCAAACTTTTTGGCCATGTGAATGAAGCGTAAAATGTTGCTTTTAAAGGATATGTTCATCTTTGGGAACATGTTAAATGTTCCACACGGTTCAAGGGTGTAACGTAACATGCTCCTACTGCTGCAGCAGCTCGTTGATTCCCCCCTTTCTCTGTACCAGCTGACACTTTTTGAAAGAACACAAATGTTCGGGGCTCTGTCCACATGGCTGAGTCATTCATTCACAGAGTCCTGTGAATGAATCCACTACTGAGTACCAACAGCTCCGTTGGAATCTCTTGGTTCAGTGTTGTGGAGACTCAATTCTAAATTGATGTGTCACTCAACTCACGCTATTACAGAGAATAAAGCCGTAATAAATCCAAAAAAAAAAATGTATCAATCATTAGATGTAGTGGTTGCATTTGTTTTTTTTCCCTTTATTTGCACCTGGTGATCTGGCCAGTAACACACCTCCTGTATTACTGCCCCCACTCTGGATGAAGGAGTACAGGGGGCACCTTTGGACAGCAGCATCCTTAGCTTGGGAAGGGGAGTGTTAGTTGTACTGGAAAATTTAGATACACTAACAAATTTAAGCCAAACTCCAGCTAAACAGTTTTTTCCTTTGGGGATAAAGGTTTTACCTAACTGAATAAAAGCTGATCATTGTAAGCACCCTAAACAGTGTTAAATGGTTTGTCTCATCCCTGTAACTGCTACATCTGCAGGATAGTTTGTTCTTTTGAAAACCAAACCTACTGGCTGGATCACCAGATGCAAATAAAGTAAAGAAAGCCTAAACAAGAAAACTATTGTAGCCATCACATCCCAGAATTTGTAAGCTGCAGTATAATAAAATATTAGCTTTTGGCTTTAATACTGCTTTAAAGTGATTCTAAAGGCTGAAGGTTTTGTATCTTCATGGATTCTATTCAATCGGTGTTTAGCTGCCCCTCGGCCCCCCTAATACCTGAGCTTGATCTTGATTCAGCGCTGTGCATGGAGAAGCGGCTCTCCCGGATCTCTCCCTCCTCATTGGCCATTGGCTCCCACTGCTGTCAATCACAGCCAGTCAGCATGGAGAGGGGCCAAACTGCACTTTGTGTGTCTTACAGACATACAGAGGTACTACATGATACGATATCATGTCATGCCTCCTCCTTGCAGTTCATTTCTGTTCATATGTTCTGCTTTTTGTCTGAATAAAGCAAATTTAAAAAAAAAAGACATACAGAGGTTGCTCAAGAGCAAGCTTGCATGAGTGCCCCCTAGCAAGCATTTAGCTCTGGGGGCACTTAGCAGGAGGCAGGGGCCAGGAGTGCCGACGAGGGACCTGAGAAGAGGAGGATCAGAGCTGTTCTGTGAAAAACTGCTGCACAGAGCAGGTAAGTAAAACATGTTTGTTATTTTTAAAACATAAGCTCTGAGCCTTTAATATCACTTTAGGCCTCATGTTCCCCTGGAAACACCTCATTTTCTTTATACGTTAGAATGGTACACCCTCTACACTTTCCAAGAATGTGAGCAGGAGTTGGAACAAAAAGAAGTACCTTATCTGTCGAGCATATTTGCTGTCTTTCCGTTTTTCTATCACTTGTAGAAGACCTTTTCTTGATGATACTATGCAATCTAATTGTGTTTTTCTTGTTTTTTCCTCCTGCAGATAAGAATAGCTTTGAAGGACTGGACTGAAGTGGAAAAGTTTCATCAGGATCTGGTCAGCTCTCAGCATTTAGATGCTGTTTACATTTTCAGACAAATGCGCCGTTGCAGAGCCTTTTATTTCACAGCGATGCCCATGATGGTAATTTGAAGGAACATAAAAAGTCCTGAGCAGATATTTGTTATATGACATGCTGTGCTTGATGTTCAGTTTACCATGGCACACAGCTGTTTTACAGCAAATGTCATCTCCTATTAAAAGCCAAGTTCACCTTTAGTAAGATCTCACATGTTAAACTCATATTTACTATGTAATATGTTACTGTGCACCTTGCCCCACACTCCCCGATTCTCTCCATGTGAGAGCAGGCAGGAAATGGCAGCATCCACTGTCACAATTTAAAAACGGCATGGATCTGCCCACACAGCCACGTCTTTCATTCACCCAGATCTGTGAATGAATTAACTATAAGTCCCGTCTATCGCTAAAGCTTATAGCTCTCAATCAACTGGGAGGGTGCTGATGAGCACCCTTGTAGTTCATTGATTCTTCCTGGACTTCAGTAACTGTCTACCCCTATGGGAGGTGTGGGCAGACAGCTATACTGTTTGCAGGAGCATGACACTGCACCCACGATCTGCTGATTGCTGGTGCAATGCTTTGTAGGCTCCTAAGAATAAAAAAAATGAATTCTTATTTTTTTACCTGCAACAAAAAGTGAATGTATTATTTTTTTTTTTAAATGAACTTATCCTTTAAAGAGGTTCTCCAGAAATTTGTTCATTCTTTCCACTAGTTCAGAATCAGGCATTCAATGATACACAACTACAACCCTCAGTTCAGTCTTCCACAAGAGAGACTGTTGGCTGTGTTTAGTCTCAACTGTTGTATAGAATCAGTAATCCTGTAGTAGACTGCTTCTCAGATGAGGTGCTACAAACAGGGGCGGACTGACAACTCATGGGGCCCCCGGGCAATAGGGGATCATGGGGCCCCTGTGTCCATGCCCAAACTCAAAAAAGCCTATGAAAAAGGTACCAGGGGCATCTCATGGGCCCCCTACTGACTCCGGGCCCTCGGGCAGTGCCCGAGTTTCCAAATGGTCAGTCCGCCCCTGGCTACAAAACTACTTATAAGAGTTTTGGTGGCAGCACCTACTCTAAAACATGCCTGTAGCAGAGTGACTGATCCCAGGTTGAGACATCACACAGCCCTTAATTATCCTGAAGGATAAGGACAAGGACTAAACACTTGGCTTTGAGAGTAAGTGAAGAGTTTAACTGTTCCTTGGAGAACCAGTGTAACACACAGCTAGAATTGCAGTATGGGTTAACCACTTGACCTCCGGAAGGTTTTACCTTCAGCCATGTGCTACTTTAACTAGCAATTGCACAGTCATGCAGTAATGTACCCAAATAAAATGTATATCCTTTTTTTTCACACAATAGAACTTTCTTTTAGTGGTATTTAATCACCACTTGTTTTTTTTATTTAACTATATTTAACAAAAGTACATTTTGAAAAAAAAAATTTCTTAGTTTCTGTTATAAAATTTTACGAACAAATTATCTTTCTTCAGAAACTTATAAAAATAAGTGGTTAAACAACAATGCTTTGTGAGTTCAGACAGCACAAAGTATCTGCCTTTATCCCAATTATTCTTTAGAATCCCTTCCTTTGAACTTAGTCCTATGCATTCCTTGAGTTGATTTTGCAACCGTACCCTATTCTACCAGCTGGTGGCGCTGCAGCGATATATCAGCTGCCAAAAATTATCAGCGTTTTGCTGATAGAGAAAAAAAAATATATATTTTTTTTAATTAATGTGCAGCATATTTAAGTTTTTTTATTTCTATATATATTTCATTTTATGTCCAATATAATGTCCATGATATTAATGAAAAACTTGAATAATACAATTATAAAGAAAATTCTGTTTTGGTTTTTGGCCAAGTACATCCTGAAATTTTGGTTTCGGTGCAGAATTTTCATTTCAGTGCACCGCTAATACCTATGCATAGACTTGTTAAAGTGTGTGCCAAGACAAAATAAAGAAAAATATTTCGTACATCTCTGGAAAACATGCACATTCCCTAGGTTTTATCCCTTAAGACTAGGTTCACATCTGTCTAGGTCAGGGGTAGGCAACCTGAGAGCCGCAGGACTACAAGTTCCTTTATGCCTCTGCAAGTCATAGCTGTAACTGTCAGTTTTGTAATCTTTGCAGTGCCTCATGGGAAATGTAGTTCCACAACAGCTAGAGAGCCACAGGTTGCCTACCCCTGGTCTAGGTGATCACCACACCTGTTCCCGCAGCCGCAACAATCCACACAGAAAAACGCAGGATCTATGTGCGGGTGCCATTAATGGTAATGGTACGTTGCATGCACTGGAAATTGCTCCAGCACTGCACTTGCAGTTCCTGTATGGCCTTTGATTTCTAAAATGCTGTAGGGACTTTTTCCTGTGTTTTAGTGCCCACACAAACCGCAGCTTGCAGAGCTGCACAGATGTGAACCTAGCCTTATACACAGTAACATGCAAATACAGAAAAATAATTGTTCATGTGCTGGAAATATAGCATGCTCCCACCTTTCATGACAGCACAACACTGAATTCCTAAGCATGTCAGCCCTGCCGTATGAATTGTCTAAAGTGGAGGGGATTCTTGCATGGTATTGCAAAGAGCACAAACGGAATTGTTATGAAATGTTATGTAAAATGTTTGCTATACATTCTTTCTTATTCATGTTCATATGCGTATGTCCCTTCACCTTACGTTTTCAAAGTATGGGACAAATCTGAGCTATTTATGTGAGCTGTCTGTAATTATTTATGTTCTTTTTCTCTAGCTGACATTTAAGTCACAGAAGAGCATACCTGCTGATGATGGTAAAGAAGAGTTCAAAGATGTGAGAGACAGGGTCGCTGATCTTGTTACTACTGAAAGTTTGGAGGTATGATTTCTTCTGGATGTTTTTACAGGGAGTCAGAAATTTAAATTTTTTTTAATAGCAGGTGGGAGACTTTATTTTATATTATTTCTGTTGTGTAGGAGGGATCTCTCTCCTTGGTATCTCATTAATGGTACAGCAGGGATGGTCCCATACTCCCTTTTTTCCCATTAAAAATACAGGATCCAGCAGGGTGAGGGAGACCAACTGGTAAGTGGTAGCAAGGATGCTTTAGACCTGTGAACTCAAGCACAGTGATCTCACCACCAGTGCCTGAGAGGTCTAAACACGTTTTAGGTTTTACTTTAACTTTAAACATTAGTAAGTGGTTAGGTCTAAAAATCTAACACTATATAGATGATATGCAGACGTCAAAAGGTGCTTGCAAATGCTTTGTAAATGCTCAAAGTAGTATTGGTACACTCAAGACCCCTTAGTCCAAGTGCACTGTTTACATACTGTAAACCTCGACTTTGAGTTGGCTGTAAGACTCACCCCTGCTGGAACTAAGCCCTCAGTATTTGGCAAAGCAATACTAGAACCTCTAATGACCGCTGAGTCAAGGCCTACAATAGTGATCATTTTCTCCAACACTCACACAGGCACACTGTAACTATTTAAAGCTGAAGTTTAGTGATTTTTATTTTTTTTTATTTTAAATCCACGCTAGTGACGGTACTTATATGAATAAAAAGTGTGCTGATGGCTGCTGTGTTTCTTTAAATCTTCTGTCCTCTGCCCCAATCCAGAGTGGAAAAATCTGAAAGTAAACAGGTGTGCTGTTGGTTTTAGAATACCTGTAATACTCTGTAAATCCAATGTAATGGGTGCATATAAATAAAAATTCTATATATTTAGATAGTGATCAAGAAAAAGGAGTTTTCAATTATTTTATGTCCAACTCCCCTTAACAATAAAAGATCTCTAAAAATAAACCGCAACATATGACGCTTTAAGAAAGCAAGTGGGAGGGGATGGGGTCCATCACAACCCCTCCAGGCTTAATTTCAGATGTTACTTAGACCCATGTCTATATACTTATGTCTATATACTTATACTCCCATTTTGTTTGTTTTTTTTTTTTCAGGAAATGGTAAACGTTCATGAACACTACCAAAAAAACAAACATCTGATGCATGCAGATAAATCAGAGTCTGATAAAAGCCTGAGTTTGATAAAGGAAGACCTTACTGATAATCTGAACTCCTTGGTCTCCCAGTATCAGTGCTGGAGGCAGGAAAACAGGGTATGTTAAAAAATACAATACCAAGCGTTACCATACACCTAAAGGGCTATGTACAAGTCACCATACACCAATAGGAAACACTATACATATAAAAAAAAGATATGGGCTAAAGAATGCATAATACTCACCCTACTTAACCTGTATCAGAAGGGCTTATAGCCAATCTTTGTCCGATGGAACCTCCCCCAAATTTTTCTGCTGTTTAGTTTTAAAAGTTTAAAATGGCTAAAAGGTTCACTTTCTGGCAAGAAAGCATAATAAGAAATAATTTCAACAGAAGCATATACAATTTCTAATCTGACTCATCTGAACTGTTTTCTTCTACCAGGCACCAAGGATGAAAAATGATGAGGAGAAAGAAGGGACTTCTCAAGAGTCAGAGGTAATTATCAGCACTTAATCATGACCATCAAGCAGATGGAGCTATAAATCTACACAGACATAATGAATATATGCAGTGCCCTGGCTATCTCTTTACTATGCTGCCTTAACCACTTCCTGTCTGGCCCTTGTACATAAACGGCCAGACGGGAACAGTGCAGGAGCGGGTAGCCATTTATAAACGTCCTCCCGCTTCCCTGCCTATGCGCGCTCCCTGGGAGCACGCAGCACCGCGATCAATGTCCGGAGGACACAGCGGAACACCGATCGCTGTACGGGACCTCTGTGTAAGGTCCCGATCATGTGATCACTGATTGGGCAATCAGTGATCACATGAATAGTAGTAAGTAAGATGTCACTTCTGAAATCATTGTTTACTACTAGTGAAATCTGTGAATCATCACAGAGGTCACATGGTACAAGGCTATTCACAACAGCCTTGTACCATGTGACAAGCTGTGACCAATCAGCTCTCACAGTATTTCTCAATGGCTGCAAGAATGCAGCCAGAGAGGAGAAATGATTGCTTTTACAGCCTTTATGGGTGTAAAAGCAATCAGTGTAAAAAAAATCTTTATCACCCCCGACAAGTAGTACAGTGTCACTATGGTGACACTGTACTGCTAGGGTGACAGTATGTTAAACAAAAAAACATAAATAATAATATAAAAAAATACAATTAAAATGTAATTTTTTTGAAAAATTATAATTTTGGTTATAAACTAATTCGGGTTATTTTTTTTTTTTTTTTTTACTAAAAAGATAGCTGAATACATTTTGGCCAAGATTTATGAAGAAAGATTATTTATTTGCAAAATTTTAGAAGAAAAACACTTTTTTTTTTCAAAATGTTTGGACTTTTTCATTTATATAGCAAAAAAAATAAAATCCCAGCGGTGAACCACCAAAATAAAGTTTTATCTGTGTCAAATGCTGAAAAATTAATATGGGTAAAGTGTTGCATGACCGCGTAATTGTCATTCAAAGTGTGATAGCACTGAAAGGTGAAAATTAACCTGGACAAGAAGGGGGTGAAAGTGTCCGGACTTGGAAGTGGTTAATATACAATAGGAGTGTCAGGAAGGTTGAAATATATGCTTGTGCCAGGAACCTATGCTTGTGATACAGCTATGTGTGACTGTTCAAATCTGTTAAAGTTCTGCAAGTTGTCAGAATGTGCATACCCTTCTGATGGCCTTCTAGCCTCTATAAACTCTATAGGACTTTTTCATATTTGAAGGTTTAATGTATGGGTGCATTCACACCCCTGTGTTGTGGTGCACTGAGAAGATGTGCCTTCAAAGCAGTCGCTTCATTTTCATGTTTGGTGTGGTTTCCTTCAAAATGCACCTACTATAGGGGCGAATGGAAATGTGGAAAAACTTATGATACGCATAAAAAATAATCCTTTGGGGTCTTCTATGTGCCTCTTGTAGACTGACTATTCTAATTGTTTTATATTTAATTCTTAAAGCAAAAATTAAAAAAATGCCCACACCTCTTATGCAGCTATGTCAACTTAGCTTTTTCAAAACCTAATTTTGTGACTTGCTTTGTTGTAGGTGGGATCTACTCACTGAAAATGTTAAACAGTAATTGTAATTCAGATGTAATGATTTAGACCTCCGGTAGTCTTGAAGTTATATTCTAATTTTTGTTGATGGGTCTGTTTTATAGGGCTCAGAGAGAGCAAGAGTTTTGGCTGGGATAAAATCCAAGTCTTATACTGCTGTGACTCAGGTAAGGTTTGAAGTATTGATGAGCTTACATATGAGCCTGTCTGGGAATGCTCCCAGCACTGCTTAACCTCCTTGGCGGTATGATTCTTTCTGATTTTTTGTGCTGAAAGCGGTACCATTTTTTTGCATGGAAATATGTAGTTTTTTATTGTAGGCTGTAATTTTTAGGAATAACTCACTGAAATCTATCCGAAAAAGAGTCTATTAAACATTCCGGATATGATAAAACTTGAAACACGAAATCATAAATTATAATTTAATAAATAATCATAAAAAATAATAATATAATAATAATAAATTGAATTCAATAATATAATCAAACCAAAAACACTGAAATTTGAAATACAGAGGCAAATTCGCACATCGCTGAGCAAAGTCGCAAAATCGTTTTCAGTGTCTGATGATGAATTTCCCCCACGAATCATTATCACTCAATTCTGCAAGTGGTTCTGATTTACTATCGCTGTTCTAAAACCGCTTTTGACGTAAAGGGACGCTTTTTGGCCGCCATGGACTTTTCTAAGTTTCCAGGCAGAAAGAACAGTCAAAATGCAGGCAGGGCACAGGACAAAGCAGTAGGGACAAAATGTATGTGAAATGCAGTGAAAAAGCAATGACAGCAAAAATGTCATTTTTAAAAAATTTCAAATTTCCCGCCGGTTCCGCCGCCCGAACGTTCCGACGTCACAGGGACCGGAACACGGAAGCCAGATGCCGGCATCCGCCGGAGGAGATGGACGGGGATGCTGCAGGGGACCCATCGTGGGAGCGAGGACAAGGTAAGTGCTGCAGGGACCCCCAGAGAACGCTGCATGGTAAGCCCGAGTGTAGCTCGGGGTTACCGTTCTTGGTATAGAAATTCTACCCCGAGCTACACTCGGGAATACCGCCAAGGAGGTTAATGCTCTGACACTGTATGATGGAGTTAGCTGTCTTCTCTTATCTCAGTCAATGTATAGGTTCACATCAGACCGCAGAGACTTCAAGTGTTACTAAACCCAGGCCCTGCATTCATTATATCCATTCTTCCACACTACACAGAACATGGAAATACAATTAATAAGAAAACAACAGCAGTGAGCGCTAATCCTGATAGCGGCTGAGCACTCTAAGCAACCAATAAAACTTAAAAGCAATAACATAAAAATAGTGCAGCGCTGAAATAGTGACAATATGACAAAAAAATAGTCCACTAAAAGTCTAGTTCATATGAACGTATCCAGTGTCAGATGTGAATTCAGAATTGGTGATCCGTGTGGAAATGGCTGGAAAACGCACTCACCAGAAGTAAGACACATAAACGCAGTGTGCATTTAAAGCTCATGGGTCATCAATCCAGAGGGAAGTAAAGCTGGTCCGGTTACAGGAATGGTGGGTCCCTCCTCCGTAAATGCAGCAACAGATCTTCCTTCTCACGATTAGATGTAGAATTCCAAGGTCCAGGTTCTGCAAGCAAAAGCTCCTCAAGGGAGTTTTAGGGAAGGACACCCATAGTGAAGTAGGTCATAAAAGGCAGCTTTATTCAAAATAGTGATATCCAATTCAAAGCAGGCAGGTATCATACAGATGTGTCAGCAAGACAACTAACCCTGGCACTTCGAATAGTGGCCGCCGGGCCTCCACGTGGCTCCGGCGGCGTAGCGTCTCGACGTCCAGGCTCCTCCTTACGCGTTACGTGTGCACGCACATCTTCAGAGGTATGGAACCATTGGTCAATGGTTCCATACCTCTGAAGATGTGCGTGCGCACGTAACGCGTAAGGAGGAGCCTGGACGTCGAGACGCTACGCCGCCGGAGCCACGTGGAGGCCCGGCGGCCACTATTCGAAGTGCCAGGGTTAGTTGTCTTGCTGACACATCTGTATGATACCTGCCTGCTTTGAATTGGATATCACTATTTTGAATAAAGCTGCCTTTTATGACCTACTTCACTATGGGTGTCCTTCCCTAAAACTCCCTTGAGGAGCTTTTGCTTGCAGAACCTGGACCTTGGAATTCTACATCTAATCGTGAGAAGGAAGATCTGTTGCTGCATTTACGGAGGAGGGACCCACCATTCCTGTAACCGGACCAGCTTTACTTCCCTCTGGATTGATGACCCATGAGCTTTAAATGCACACTGCGTTTATGTGTCTTACTTCTGGTGAGTGCGTTTTCCAGCCATTTCCACACGGATCACCAATTCTGAATTCACATCTGACACTGGATACGTTCATATGAACTAGACTTTTAGTGGACTATTTTTTTGTCATATTGTCACTATTTCAGCGCTGCACTATTTTTATGTTATGGAAATACAATTATTTTAGTAAATATAAAACTGCTAAATATATAGCAGTCTTCTATCAGTTTCCAGCCGAGCACTGGTTATCCTGTAGGAGGAGTTCTACATTCTCCTCTGACTGTCCTATGAGGCGGCATAACCTCTGACCCTGTCTGGACAGCGACTATTACTCTAAAATTAAATAATGTGTAATATATATCTATCAAGATCATAGAGTTTCAGAAATGTATTTACTGTGAATTTTTTATATTATATAATATTATTTTTCTTATATAGGCTGCGAAGTCAAGACGGCATCGGCAGGTCCAGCTGGCATCCTCTGAATCTGGTTCCGATTACAAAAGTACAAAAGCTGAGAAAAGAAGGCTCAAAAAATTGAAGTTCAAGGCAACAAAAGAAGCACAGAAGCAAAGTATGATTTCTTTTTTGGCCCGGTAGACACGGTGAAACTGACAGATCACTGTACCAACACAAGTGATGTTGGTGCGGTGATCTCCCCCACTGTGCTTTTGTATTCTGACGGGGACTACCCCCCACTTTTCCCCTCGAATACACAGATCAGTGCTGATTGGATGCTGGTTTTCCAGCATGTCCCTGTTGTTAGATGGCTTCTGTTGGACAGACTGCTGCACACACTCGCTGAAAGTCAGCTAGTTCCTACTGAACCGCCCAATTTGTTTGTACCCAGCTTTATACTGACAATCCAAAACTTGCAGTCCATATTGGAGCGTATACAGGGCCTTCTTCCCTCCCGTATGTGACAGTGTTCATGCCTGGCAATTACTCATTTAGGGTCAAGTGCTGCATTCTTGGTGTAAGGGGAGAAGATCACATACACCCCAATGCCCCAGGAATATATCGGCTCTGGCAGAAAGGAGCAGGGGAGTGTGGGAAAGGTGAGACAGTCAGTGGGGAAGGGGGATCTTTCAAGAGAAAATGTTACTTTGAATTGAATGTGCAGATTTGAATGAAGAATTTGACCACATTTACATAATCACACTGCTGACTCATCCTCCAATAATATATGAAATAAGAATGTCCTCTAACTAGCTGTACAGTGTGACAATGCTTTCTAAATCAAAAGAGTGGCTGAACACAATTACAAATCCTTTGATTGGTAAACAGACCACATAATGGTGTTGATTTACCAAAGACAAATATACTGTGTGCTGCAAGTGTTCTAGGGCTTAGTAAATGAGATAAAGCTTCTCTTTGCAAAGAACACCAAATCACATGCAAAGAAAATAAAACAAAAAAAACAGCATTTTTGCTTGCACATGATTGGATGATAGAAATCACCAAAGCTTCTGCTCATTTCCTAAGATCTAGAGCTACTGTGCTTGCAGTGCACAGTATATTTGCCTTTAGTAAATCAACCCCAATGTATTTTAACTGCATATTTCCCTGAATACATTTGAATACATTTTATGGCAGCACTAAAGTAATATCCTCTTCTTCTTTTTTTTTTTTTTTCTCATCAACTTGTGATAATACTGACCTTTTTATTGTGCAGAGGTTCCCTGTCTGTTCAAATGTCTCGCACTATTTGGCATTCAGTATTACCACTGCTATAATTTATAAATAAAGTGTAGCAGTCGTGCTTATAATGCCCCATTAGATATGAAGCAAAATGCTAAATTAACTGTTACAATCATTTTAACACAAGCATAAAAACGCATTTACTAGGTTAAAGGGTCAGTTCAGGCGGATACAGGTCAGTTGCTTCACTCATTGGCTTCTACATTTGGTGGAAACTCAAGAATCAGTGTTTCTGACTCCTCTTTCTGCAGTTTCTATGAAGTGAAACCCTTCTTAAAGAGACTATTAGGGGAGGAAGGTAGGCAAATAGCTGTTGGGATACAGTGCATGCACCTAGACATACCTATACTTGCAGTAGCCTCCCAAACCTTCCTTTCCGAGCCAAATGCTAGTCCATTTGCATGGGCTAAGCTTCCACAAAACAGGGCAGTAGTTGAGCTTGCCAGTAAGCCTGTCCCACACTTTCCTATTGGTCCATTACCATGATAAATAGGCTCAATGGCCAATAAGAATCTGAAGGAAGGGGCTGGTTAGTTTTGACATGACCAGGAAGTACCAAAGCTTTACATGTCATCAAGGAGTAGGTATTGGCCGTGACGGGTTTCAGAGGATAGATTAGAGGAAAGTACATAATGGGAGACAATACAGTAACAATACAATTCAATACAAGAGGGTTAGGAGGGGCCTGCTCCTGGGAGCTTACAATCTAAGAATCATATCATTAGGCGCTGAGGTTAGGGCGATACGCATGAACCTTTTTTCCCCCACTGGCATACAGTATGGTGTTTTTAAGCTGCTTTTCTATACAATAAAATGGATATGTGATTTAGTGCCGCCTTCTGGACTATCCATTGATCTACAGCACAGGTGTGTGAACTGGGCCAGCACACACACTGAAGGATTGTAGAATGTGGGAGTGGTGAACCTACCTGGAGCAGCACTACCTTCTCTGTCTATATTGCCGGGTTTCAGAGGGTGCTGTTCATACTTGCAGCAGTTTCCCCCCTTCCCTTCAGTAATAGTCTCTTTAACAACTGCAGCAGGTGGATGGAATCAGTTAGCTGCAGAGATCCTGCCATTAGAGTTCTTTAAGAGTAACTCCGCTTTTGTTGAAGAAAAAAAAAACATTCCCCTTTTGGGTGATCTATGTACATTGTAGGGATTTTAACAAAATTTGTTGCAAATTGCTACTTTTTGTTATTCTGAAGAAATAGCAATTTATTTGTCTGTGTCCATGTGCAGAGTGAATCTCTATGGGAGTGATTTTATAATTATCAGCTGCTGCACCTGCAGGACTCAAATGAGGAAATTGTCAGAGTCTGCATCCCTTTTTAGATGTGATTTGCCTTTGGGAGTATCTCACCAAAAATTACATTTTTAATGCATGGGATGCCAGAAATCTGACTTAAAACTTAGTGCAGACCTCTAGCAAAATCAGTAGGCCAATCACACAAGCAGGAAATGACATTTTCAGGGGGCGTTCTGTATTCTATCTTTGTACAGAACGACTCCAGGTACTCATATTGCATTGCATTTTACAGAAAAGTACAGCTCTGTAGATTGAAAAGGAAAGGTAATTTTTTAATAGCATTCAGTTACAATATTACTTCAATCTAATTGTATACGCTATGTTATTTTTTTTACTTGCCTAAGTGCCTAAGCCTAAAGAAATATCAGCCTTAAGAGGACAATATAAAGTGCAGTTTTGTATGAATTAATAACCAGATTACTATTGATCTTTTCCTTGCAGCTTACCTTTCTTTGATAAAGAAGAAGTCTTCAGTAAAAATGCCAGCGATTTCCGAGGAGGATTCATCTTCCAGCGGTGAAGGTGGGAGCATTATTTGAGTAATCATTTATCATACATGGTGTTGCTTTCTGTATGTATGCCATTTCCAGTAATGTAATTTTGGCTAGTAAGCTGGATAGATACAATATACTATATAAATGAAACCTATTTGGTTCGGCCCCCCAGATGTGTAGTCGCCTGAAGACTACACAAGCACACACAGCTCTCTGGGTTCAAACTAAGAGTAGAGCTGATTTTCACTGAGCTGGCAGCAGGGAAATGTCTTGGGAGCAGGATTTTTCTCTTGGATTCTCTGCTGGGAGCTGAAACATACATCATTAATCATTCAATTGCTTTTTATACGTCTGAGTCTTAAAGCTAACCTGTTCAATTAAAAAAAATACCCAACATGTTGCAGGGCGTTCTTTTGAATTTTTTAACTCAGTACGCCAGGTTGCGTTGGTGGTCTTTTCAGCTGCTTGGGAGACTCTGGGAGGCACTTGTGCGCTAGTGAAGTCTTTAAATATGTCCTAAACATGCTGCTGTTCCTAAACTTGCTTTTACCGCTGCCGCCACTGTGTACAGGTCATTGTGCCCCATGTATAAGGTAAGTAGTTGACCTACAGTCTCAAGCATCAATTGCTAGACCCCAGTACTGCTCTATTGGGGTGAGAGGCTTGCTGTTCACAGTATAATAATGGAAATGCTAGCTGGCAATGGCCAGTGACTTTCTGTGAGTGGCTGGCCCAAGATAGTAAAAAAAATGTTTTTTTTTAATTTAACTGTATATTTCTTGCTACTACCAAAGAACAAACCAAAATAAATTTTCCTGCTCCTGATGATCACAGCGATACTACATATGTGTTTGTTAGTTGTTTTGTACCCAAAGTAGGGCTCCCAAACAATGGTGCACATTTTTCTTTTTGTATCCTATCTAAAACACGACACTAACTTACAAAATCTTACCCAAAATATACCTACGCCGACCTTTGACCCTGACCTCAACCTAACACTAACCCTGGTATTGGCCTAAATCAGGCCTTGAAATTTCCACTCGCCTGCTCGCCAATGGCGAGTGGAAATTATGGTGAGAGTGAGTGTGTCCTCCAGGGCCGTCTTACTGAGCAGGCTCAGAGCTCAGGCTGGATCTGTCATTGGCACTGGGAGCCGTCAGACTGCTCAATAGCTGAGCGCAGTGAAAGCAAAGCAAGGAGTGTGTGCTGTGCTCTCTGCCTCCTCCTAGAGTGCAGTACCCGGCTCTGTGAGTGAACAACGAAGTACTGCAACGTTTATAGGGGTGTGTGTGTGCGTGCGTGCCTACCTAATTTCAGCTCACTCTGGTCACATGATCCTCTATCTCAGCCAGTGGTGGCTTCAGGGGAGAGGAGAGAGCACTTAACAGCATGTGTGTGTGTGTTTGTGTGTGTCTGTGTATGCATGTACATGTGTCTGTGTGTATGTACATGTGTGTATCTGTACATGTGGCTGCGTGTATGTACATGTATGTGTGCGTGTACATGTGCCTGCGTGTGTGTGCATGTATGTGTGTGTGTGTATGTACGTACATGTGTGTGTATTTCTGTGCATGTACATGTATCTGTGTGTATGCGTGTCTGTACGTGCCTTTGTGTGTATACGTGTCTGTGTGTGTGTGTGTGTACATGTGTCTCTTTGCGTGTGTGTACATGTTTCTGTGTGTGTGTGTGTGTATGTACATGTGTGTGTGTACAGGTGTCTCTGTTTCTGTGTGTTTGTTGGTGGTGAGTAACTCTTAAGGTCTGGCTAGTAGCTCATGATTTGAAATTTTAAGCACTGGCCTAAATCAAACCTTGATCTAGCTATATTTTTCTTTCTTTTTTTTTTTTTTTTTAACACACTTTTGTTTATTTACATCCTGGTCTCCTGCAAGGAAAGAAAGATACAATGTATCTTTCTCTCCATTCAGAAGAGAAAGTAAATATATGGGTGGGGTGTACAGTGATTGATCACTGTGATAGCCAATCCGAAGCTATCACAGCAATCGGGTGACCTGGAACCAGGAGTCCTGGATCCTGAATGTTAGTACAAGACATAGGGCTCCCGGTGAGAGACAGGTCTCTGTGCTGGGATAGGGCTGTGCGACATACATCAAGACAGGTACACAGATGTGTCCTGACAGATAAAGACCCACTTCATTGAGGCTGCATATCTGCATATGGTTGGTGGGAAGGGGTTAAAATAAATTGTGGTAAGAGAAGGATTAGTGGAATCTTAGACCCTGACTGTTATTGTGATAATAAATTGAGGAATTTCCAAGGACCACATTTGTCTGTTTTTTAATCTCTGGATTTACTCCTGATGGTTTTTTTTTCTCTTTCTTGCAGAAGTTCCAGTCAAAAAAAGGAAAAGAAAACGTTAAATGTTTGGATTAAGACTCTAAGATCTCCAGTGCACCATACTGGGATAGGAATTGGAAATACAAAATATTTGTATATAGATTTATTTTTTAATTGCACTATAGCTTTCATTTTGTAAATTGTGTTTATGTAAAAATATAACTTGATAGAATACTTCAGTTTTCTGCTATAAATATTGGCGCATTTTCTGTGCACCAAACTAACAGTGTTATAAGACAAGTTCTATGTGGTTTTGTACCAGCTGGGCCATATCACATTAAAATTGTGATGTCACAGTTTGTATGAATGTCTGATCATTTGGGCCAAAGTAATGCAGTGCTTATGCCAGTCAAAAAACTGTTGTAAAATATACACAGTTATCAGAGTGGTGTACATACCATAGTAGGGGCATTGGCGACAATCAACACTGTAGAGGGGAGAAGAGAGGTAGATGTGTATGCAGTGGCGTCCCGAGGCAGGTGCAGGGGGTGCGCGCCACACTGGATGACACCTACCGCACGGGGTGACACTAGACCCGCTCCACGAAAAGGTAAGTTGTAAAGCAAGCCGACGATCCCCGCAGGATCCCCTGTGTGTATGGAAAGTCAGTGCTCCAATATATTAGAATGAAAGAAAAGTGTTTATTGGTTCAGACCAAAAAATGACAATGTCATAAAGTTAGGCAGTGCAGTGTTAGTGTGCCAGTGCTACTTATTAGGAATGCCTGCTTTATTGATGAAAAACCTAAATCGGGTAAATATAGCATAATGCGTGATGCATGCAGACATGGGCAAGAGGTTTGTTCCTTAGTCCAAATTTTGAAACGGAGTACAGTTGTGTTCAAAATAATAGCAGTGTATTACAAAAAGTGAATAAAGCTCAAATTCCTTCTAATAGCTTTTATTTCCATCCACACAAATGCATTGGGAACACTACACATTCTATTCCAAATCAAAACATGAAGAAAAATAGATCAAATTTGTGTTGTTCCTCTAAAAAAATTGAAGAAAAGTGAATATTAGACGGTTCAAAAAAATAGCAGTGTTTATATTCTTATTTACAAACTCAAACATTCACTATATAAACTGAAAAATTTTGAAGATTTTGCTTTCCTTTGAATCACTTAATGAATATTTAGTTGTATAAGCACTGTTTCTGAGAACTGCTGTACATCTGTGTTGCATGGAGTCAACCAACTTCTGGCACCTGGGAACAGGTATTCCAGCCCAGGATGATTGGACTACATTCCACAGTTCTTCTCTATTTCTTGGTTTTGCCTCAGAAACTGCATTTTTGATGTCACCCCACAAGTTTTCTATTGGATTAAGATCCGGGGATTAGGCTGGCCACTCCATAACGTCAATCTTGTTGGTCTGGAACCAAGATGTTGCACGTTTACTGGTGTGTTTGGGGTCGTTGTCTTGTTGGAACACCCATTTCAAGGGCATTTTTCCTCTTCAGCATAAAGCAGCATGACCTCTTCAAGTATTCTGATGTATTCAAACTGATCCATAATCCCTGATATGTGATAAATAGGCCCAACACCATAGTATGAGAAACATCCCCATATCATGATGCTTGCACCACCATGCTTCACTGTCTTCACAGTGTACTGTGGCTTGAATTCAGTGTTTGGGGGTCGTCTGACAAACTGTCTCCGGCAACTAGACCCAAAAAGAACAATCTTACTTTCATCAGTCCACAAAATGTTGCGCCATTTCTCTTTAGGCCAGTCAATGTGCTCTTTGGCAAACTGTAACCTCTTCAGCACATGTCTTTTTTTCAACAGTGGGACTTTGCGGGGGCTTCTTGCAGATAGCTTGGCTTCACATAGGCGTCTCCTAATTGTAACAGTACTCACAGGGAACTTTAGACCTTCTTTCATCTTCCTGGAGCTGATTGTTGGCTGAGTCCTTGCCATTTTGGCTATTCTTCTATCCATTCGAATGGTAGTTTTTCGCTTTCTTCCACGTCTTTCAGGTTTTGGTTGCCATTTTAAAGCATTTGCGATCATTTTAGCTGAGCAGCCTATCATTTCCTGCACTTCTTTATATGTTTTCCCCTCTCCAATCAACTTTTTAATCAAGGTACGCTGTTCTTCTGAACAATGTCTGGAACGACCCATTTTCCTCAGAATTTTAGAGAGAAATGCACTGTAACCAGCATGTACAACATTTGCTGCCTTCCTTCCTTAAATAAGGGCAATAATTGCCACCTGTTTTTCAAAGAATGAATGACCTCACTAATAGAACTCCACACTGCTATTATTTTGAACATGCCCCTTTCAATTAGTGATTCAATTACACAGAATCAGCAGCATGCATGTCATGACTGTTGGGTCTGTTGGATTTCTACACCTGCTAGTAAATTATTTGCCATGTAGAAATATCATTTCTACCAAAAACAGTGATTGATCAGGTTAGTGATGTCTGACTGCTATTATTTTGAACACAACTGTATATGATAAGCTGCTTTAACCTTGGTGCCAGTGTTTGTGGTTACAACATCTCAAGTGATGATCTCCTGGGATTTTGGACACACTAGAGTTACTACAGTAGAGTAGAGTTACTATAGTTATGCTATCAGGTGTGTAACGTTTTGAAGGCAGAAAGTCAACATGGCAGCCAGACGATTTGTATTTTCACAGCAGTCTTCAGCAGACGTTTGACAGGCAGCGAGGAGGTGTTCTGCCCCCCTCCCCATTGCATGCAACTGCGGTGCGACCCTATTCAGTAAATGTTTCATATTCAGAGGGCGGTACTATATCATCACAATCCACTGCCTTTGAAGCTTAAGAGGGAGCGGTTGGGGGGACATTAAAAACTTGGCTCAACCTCATATGTAAATGAGGCCTTTAAGCAACCCAGGTATGAATTTTTTTTTTTTTTAGTTCAACCAGCGAGTTGAACAAAAAATTAATGACTTGGTTTCCCCATCCACACACATGATTCAATCCCACTGGGCCTTTGTAAATAGACAGCGGGGAGACTTCTGTGCCATCAGAACACACTGATCAGCACTGCCAGCTACAGCCAGCGGTGCTGATTGAGTGTCAACAATCCAACAGGTACAATCAGTAGATCGACTTTTGCACAACAAGCCTGCACATGCATAGATTGAAAAGTTGCTGGTCCCTACTGAATTGGCCAAATTTCTCTGTATGGAGAGTCTTAAAGAGGTTTAGCCAGACATAGACATTAGATAGCAAAAGCGCAAGGCAGAGATGTGATCTCCTGCCATTAGTGCCATTCCACCAGCTCCTGATCATTTTCTGAACTCCACTGACTGTAAAAGTTTTCTGCCACAGCATTTCACTCCTTCCTTGAATGAAGAGAGAACCACTAGGCAGCCATCCAGTCACTGCTTTACAAACATCAGAACATCAGGAATGATGACTCCAATTTCTCACTCATGCATAGAATGGTGTTCAGGCTTTTTTGCATTTGCCCTTTATTACCGGATAAACAAGTCCACCTGTCACTGTTGTCATATCATTTGGCCATCAGATGTACTGTAATGCTTTAACCTGACATTGTCACAGTTCATTAAATAACTGGCTACGACTACCAAGTAAATTCATGGTTCAAAAGAGTTTGTCTTTATAGCTATGAAATGTCAAGGTGGAGATTCATCAGCTGGCACTGTGTGCTTAAAGATCCTCCTTTTTACAGTCACATTGCATTCCACGTTGGGTGATTCACCATTATTGACCAAAAAAAGGACTAGTAGCTATAGAACGCCATACACTTCGCTATCCAGCATCACAACCTACAACTGTGCAAAAAATTAAATTCTGCTGAATTCTTTATTTTCTGTATGAATTTATGGATACAGTATACTAAAGGTAAATAGAAGTCATAAAATAGATATTCTGTTACATAGAACTTGCATCATCGACCTCAATTGTCATAATCATACCTCCTCTTTATTCTTTCAGCAGTTGTGTGGGGTGTCTGTATATATTACTGTGCAGTCCAAGACCTAATGGAGTTAGACCCAGTGCTCTCCCTGTTTAGCACTCAGTAATAGTCCTGGTCTGATGCTCCCTCTCCTCTTCTGTAATACAAGCCTAAAATCCAATTATATTATAATGTTGGACTGCTATATAATTGCAGGACCATGTTGTAACGGAACTGACCCAGACTGCGCTTGAGCACTTCCGCTAGAATACCGCTTCCCTGTCCGAATACTGACAACAAACACCACAGCCGACCATACAAGACTAGACGACACCAGTCTGTCTGAACATGGAACTCTTTATTTTAAACTCAAACAGGCTTTTTATACAATACACATTGAGACTGATCACATGATCATATGCAAACGCAGCTATATACAGAAATAGACTTAACACTCTAAACAGTAAGTTAATTAGGTTAGCTAGCTGGGTGACTGAAACAAAAGGTGAATGGGAATTTACACCTAGACAATGGTTTGATGAATTAGGATCTCACTACAGAGCAGACGGTCCAGCTCCTACAGTGGAGTAGAGGAGAGGTTGGGGTGATCAGCTCTTTTAATTCACATGTCTAGTTCAGAATCAACAACCAGGAATAGTCTTCATATGGCTGATAAATATTACTGTCCCATCTGAAGTAATTCCAACCGCATTCTCAGCGTCCATTAGTCACCCTGTGCCCCTAAGAGACACAGGGTGACTTGCACATAAGGATATGAGGAGCTGAGACAGGGGTCTCCCAACCTCTGCAAAGTAAGCTGGGTTTCATGAGCTCCCCACTGAAAGTAACTCTTGTCACACATGTCCATAAACCTAACTACAGAAGTAATTTAAAAAATAGGGGACTTTCAAGGTACCAATGTATCAAAAATATATTAAAATAATTTTCAAATTCAAGACTTTTTCATATTCAGAATATCCGATTATCACACAACACAAAAAAAAACTCCTTGCAGTGTTACCCCTCTCTCCTCCTCCATTGCAATGGTTAAATGCTCATTATGCCAAGGAGTGCTGGGCCACTGCATGCATAGATTTTTTTTTTTTTTAATTTCCTGGAGTTGG